TTGTGCAGGACCAGCCACACTTTTTGGAGAGACGAATACAGAAACCTGGTGCACCGAATGCATGCCACAAGGTTCCCAAACGACCCTCCGCAGGTTTTGAATTCAGAGTTGTCCTTCTCCTAGACCAGTTGCCATCCAAGGCTATAGAACCCAGTCTGTCCTGCTATTTTACCCATAGTTGGAGGATATATATATATATATATATATATATATATATATATATATATATGTTTACTGGATTTTCCTGTCGTTTAAATATATATATATATATATATATATATATATATATATATATATATATATATATATATATACTGCAACAGATACATAGAGATCTTCTGACGATAAAGATCTTTATCGCCTGATCGTTTTAAAGTCAGAGACCCTGGGCGCTTTCTTGATATTTGTTGTTGTTAAGGCTCTTATTCTGGTTTCTATAGACTTATTGTCATATGCACTCTGATTTTTGTTGAAGTCGTTGTCTTTTTTTCCTTTTTCGTTCTTTGGTAAACTTAGTATTGGTAAAATTAGTTAGATAGCTGATTAAATAAGGAAGAAGTAAGAAAACCTTTGTAAATTGAATATATTTTCGTATTTATATCGCTTGATTAGAAATTCGTTTGACAAGTGGAAAAATGCATGGTTTCCAGTTTTAAATTCTATATTGCTTTGTTTACATTGGTTTGATTGTCGTCACGTGCTCAATTCCAGATTTCTAAACCCTTCCTTACTTGTTAATTATTTAATCATTTTATCGGTTTTAATCCCTGTCTCAAATTCATCTCTCTCACACGCATATATATATATATATATATATATATATATATATATATATGGAAAAATATTCATCAAACTCTTACACACACATTTCACCGAATCAAGCACTCACCACAGAATTTTCAAAAACACATAAAAATCAGCTACAGTTGCACCGAGAACATGACGCAAATAACAAAAAAAAGCTATCAACAAATCACCTGTACAAATTAAACCTACGTGTAACTGCAGAATAAAGAACGAATGTCCCTTAAATGACAATTGCTTACAAAACAATGTAATATATCAAGCCACGGTAAAAAAAACATAAGATAACGAAGAAAAAATATACATAGGTGTAACTGAAGGACCATGAAAACAAAGAAATGAAACGCACAAAACATCTTTCACAAATAGTAAATACGCGAACATTACAATGCCGCCCAAGTATATCTGGAAAATCAAAACCAAAAACAATTCACACAATAAAGATCATGGAAAATAAGGAAAAGAACATCAGCCTACAACAATCAATCCAAAAATTGCAAACTCTGCTTGGAGTTAAAAAAATAGCTATAATTACATTCACACACCAAAACAAACGACTAAATAAACGATCATAACTCATCTCAAAATGCAGACACGAATACAAATTTTACAAACTTACAAGAAAGCCAAAAACTGGAAAAATAAATAAATAAAATAAAAAAGTAAAATCAAGTAAATTAAATTAGCCCAAATAAAGTAAATAATAAACAAACCACTTCAGCCAAAATAACCGTTAGAATAGACTACGCACAATTCCAATAGACTATCCACAATGTATCATTGACCCGTATATATAAATAGTCGAGGAAAAACATAACGCATGTGGCCTGACGATGAAACAGTCTGTCGTCTCTGAGTGTTGACTTCAATGTTCACTTATATATAGGCTGTTTCATGCTAGACGCTATCGTCAGGTCTGACTATAGAGTCTAACATGAAACAGCCCGTCGCCTCTAAATATTGACTTCAATGTTCACATTTATATTTACACACGCTCTATCTCTGATACTGAACACTTTATCCCATAAATATAGCATACCTTAACAGTATATTACTTCATATATATATATATATATATATATATATATATATATATATATATATATATATATATATATGGTTAAATTATTTTTGCTAGAGTGTATTTGTGAAGGAACAAAGGAATAAAAACACAAGAGCAAAGAACAATTTTTCCCTGCCTTATTATTCATATATATATATATATATATATATATATATATATATATATACACACATATATATTCAACACTGTGGATGCTAATAAAAAGGTATTGATTTTCTCATAACTTCTTAACCTTCAAGATGATAATCTCCAGCTGTCTAATTGCAAACACCAAAGTAACTGTTGAAAAACAATGAAATTATTTACAATTTCCCCTGTCCTTGATAGCGAACAGATGCAAATTTGAAAAGATCCCAATCTCCAACGTTTGAACAAAATTTATATGTATTTAATTCAAGTACATGTTCCATTATGCGTAAATAAGCAAGAAACATTGACAATAAAAGAAATGTATTCAATACAGAATAAAGACAAACGAGAATATACTGGTTATAACAGCAAAATTGTCCAAATAGTCTTACGGCATAATCCTCTATCTAACAAAATGTTTAATATCTAAAAAAAAACAAACACTAATTTGAATTTCTTTTTCCAGATTTTCAAATAAGGCGTTTAGTCATCGTAGCACCATTTTTCGTAAGAATCACTGAAAAACCCTTTGAGTTATTCAGCTAAGAAGAGAACAGTTTAAAATCGTTTTGTGTTAAAATCACTATCTTTTCAACTGAGCAATGGTGAGAGGAAAAGGTCATTCAGGCCCTCAGTAATGGCACGAACATACATACTCTGGCTACCATCTTCAAATTCCATTCACGAACAATCAAGAGAACGCTGAATAAGTTTGAAAGAGGCAACAGCTGAGAGGGAAACTGGAACAGGAGGTCACAACAGGAAGAGTGATCATCATTAAAACTGCTAAAGAGATCAATTAGAAAAGATCCAACTCAGTCTATAAGACGTTTGGCACGTGAGAGAGCAGTTCCAGCAATGACAGTCCAAAGAGCAGAGAAAAAAAGATTTGAAAATGAAATCGTACGTGAAACGTGTGGGGCGCGTTGTTACACCAGGACAGAAAATTAGAAGGTTGGAGAGTGCGAAGAACATCTTGAATAAGCTAGAGAATAATCCCGTAGTAAAAAAAGATATATTTGAACTTTATTTCAGTTCTTCATGAGCTTCTGATCCTTAGCTATGATTAATTAATGATGAGCATGTCATTCTCGTTTAAGATCGATTTCATGACGATTCTTCTGTTAAGCTTGGAGAGTAATTATTCATATTGCTCAGAGTAGAGTCGAACAGTGTTATAAAACCCTCGGATAATTCCAGTAAGATAACTTTAACCATGTCTAAGATACAACGTTTCAAAGGTTAATCCTACAAATGGACAATTTTGCTTTTACACGAATTAAGCCGAAGTCACTGATGTAACATCGGTGGTTTGTTAAGACAACCACACTCTACACACTTTCCTTCCAAGCACTGCTGTAAACAATGAAAATGAGTTAGAACGTTATAACTTCGTATGCATGCGTGATAGAGTTCAAAGTCAATCTGTGCCAAGAGGCTTCACTCTGCGTACTTTAACATACCAACTGACCTGATACTTTTTGTTCAGACCTCATACATATACATATATATGTTACCGTATCGTTCTTGAAATTATATTTTACTAATTTCAACTCAGTTATTGTTCGTTAATAGCTTTTATTCCACATTGTTTCAACACCAGTTTAGTAAGGTGATAGATAGATCGATAGTGATTGGAGGAGGCTCATATAATATGGCGCTTTCAATAGACCTTCGCCTGAGTAATTTATATTCATTTTAGGTAAAATCGATATTTTCCAGGTCAGAATTGTGATCTCGAAGTGCATTGCTTTTTTATGCTCGTATATTCTTTTCTTTAAATTTGTGTGATGTTTCACCCATATAATTTTGAGGGCATTGTTTACATTTTCTTTGTTAGATTTCAGTTGACAGTCAGACTAACCACCATAACTGTTATACCACACCAAGTGTTTATGCTTAATATTTAATTTGGGAAGAAGTGCAGCTGAAAGTAGCCCATAAAGCTTATGAGAATGATGCAGTATGTGTAAGCATGTATTGGAAATGGTCTACGATGTTAAAATAGGAGATTTGATACTCAAAACTGATGAATTGCAGATTCTTCATTGTATTTTAAAAAAATGTCTAAATACATTGCAAAAGCTACAAATTAAATGTGTCAGCATTATTCAATGTAGGGACGAATGGTAAACTTATAAATGTGGCAGATAGAATCTGCCGTGAAAATATTCCTAGCAACTGACCCAGCGATTGATTCAATATAATCTTTCCACTTCATCTCAGAGGAAAAATTAATTTATATATGTGAATATATGTGTATTTTTATGCATGTACTTCCATACGAGAAATGTTTAAATAAATTTTCGCCCAATGCTCAGTCAAAGAGCCAATCAAAGCAGAGGATTACTGAACGAGTTTGGTGTATGGACGTCATATGGGGAAGTAAGTGCAGATTATGAGGATATGTAGGATAGATAAAGTTTGACCCTAGAATTGAAAAGGTTAAGATTGTAGTGACCGGAAAAGTATC